AGGTTTGGCCAGTGACCGAGTCCTGGCCGACAGAGGGAGGGCAGAAGTGGCAGGTGTCATTGGAGGCTACCCTCTGAAGAAGGCGGTCTGTCCCCGGGCATGGGGGCCACAGGTGGCCAACCCTCCTCGGGAGCAGACACCCCCACTCCCACCCCCATCCCATTTCGTTGGACTCTTATGACAACAAGAAACCAACTTCTTGTGTTGGAGGCAGTCTACATTTTTGTTACCACAAGTTAATTTAGCCCAACTAATACAAGGGGAAATGTTTGTGTTCTGTTCCCACTCTCCTCCAAATGGATGGGCACCGTCTAAAAACCACAGTTATTGGGTGATAATGAAGTGTCAATCAACATAGGCTCATTGACCGGGGCCCGAGGACTGCCCTGGTGTGGGGCATTGATAGTGAGGGAAGCTGTGCGTGTGTGTGGGAGGGCAGGGAAGGCACGAGAAACCTCTGTACTTTTGGCTCAACTTTGCTATGAACCTAAAACTGCTGTGAAAAGTAAACCTATTTAAAACAAAGCAAAGCAATCTGCAGTGACAAGATGCGTGGCTTACCCGCGCTCCAGAGAAGCCCATGATGCCTTCTTCTCCCTTCAAGGAAATGCCCTAGGAGAGAACAGAGAGAGCCCCACACGTCAGCCTTTCCCTGCTCAGGGGCTCTGGTTCTTCCCGCCCCGACCGTGGCCGGCCTGCCTCTTGTTCTCCACGCGAGCTCCACATAACGACAGAGTCACGGGCAGTCTGCGAGTCTGCCTGGGTTATCACCTATCCCGGACGTCACCTATCATGGTCATGCAGTAAGCGACGATGGGGAGATCTGGGAACACGGGGCAGGCAGGACGAGGATTAAAGCGAGCGCAGTGTGACACCGCGGCTAGAGCCCCAGAACAGAAGCCACCATCGAAGCTACCCAGCTCTTCCACCCGCACATCCTCTCTTTTAAAGTGCTTAGGTTCATTTTATGAACTTAAGAAAACGTTGATCAACCGATGTTTACTATGCAAAAAGGAAGGCATTCTAAAACTTCTGAAGAAAAGTGTAAAAATAAATGAGAACACTTTCTCGCTGTAGACAAACGGACTGGAAACCCAGAGCTGGGGCATCATTCCCACCCCTGCACGCTCCATCCTCGCAACAGGACCACCGAGAACCTGGGAGCCCTGGGGAGAAGAGCATCTTTATGGCTCGACTTACTTGTCTTCCTGGTTCCCCCTCACTTCCTTTTTCACCCTGTGAAGAAAATGAAAAATAAGGCATGTCATTAATTCGAGAATAGTAATATTCAAAATCGACCAGGGTTTACGGTAAGAGGTGAAAATATTTAATAAAACTGTAAACAGTGATTAGAAATTAATTGTAACAAACGACTCCTAAATTTTGCGGTTTCAAAATTCAAGGGAAAATATGTGCTATTTCTTCTGGATTTTCATAATATAAGTTAAATCATGCGTTATTTTTGCCACAATTGCAAGGCTGTCTCTCTTCTCTCTGTGAGGTTTCCTTTACCCCACAGCTGCAGGTATTTATCAACATCCTGGTGGTGGGAGATACGCCCAGGGGGAAGTCTGTAATGATAACGTTCATTTAATAAAATAGTATTAGGAGATTGCTCTGAGGAAAAGGCACTTTTGGAACATATTAAAACCCCAAGGCTTTAGAAAGCAATGTCAATTTTATATGATCTATTAGTTTCACTTCTCTTGGTCTAAAATGGGGAAAGAAATGTTACAGGCCTGGTCCTTTTCCCCATCGCTGCTAGGACAGCACGGGGACCCCTGCACCCAGGACTGCCCCCTGCAGGCTGGCGAGGCCCCAGCTCCGAACCCACCCCCTCTTGGTAGCACATAATGAAGGAAATCTGTTTCAGAAGCTTGAGCATCTCAGCGTGGATGGGACCTGCTCTGGCCTCGATCCATCCTCTGCTCCTGCCCTGAAACTGGACAGAGGCCCCACCTGGCTGATGGTCAGATCACCACCAGGGGCCAGAGTCCCTCCTGGTCCCCACCCTGACGACTCAGTGGAGCCCCCCTCCTGCCTGTTTGTCCAGGGACGTCCTGCTCTGAACTCAGCCAACACACAACCACCCACTTCTGACACACTTTCCCCTGGCACTGCTGCCTCGCACCGGCCACCTCCCAGGCCGCTGATTCCCCACCTCAGTGCCCCAGCCTGCCCGCTCCCACCCACAACCGGGCACCCAAACCTCATCTGGACAGAGACTTGAGAGATGGGAATTCCATTCTCTGTTTGGGTTGTTTTGGTTCCTTGGATTGTCGGTGCCCGACCTTCGACCTCACCTGTGCCCCTGTAACCCCCTCGGCAGCCACACCAGGTCAGTATGACTGTCTTTACCCGACACAAGGAACACGGAGGGGTAGGGAGGTTAGGTGGTCTGTGTGAGCGAGTCACTGGAAGAGCAGGATTGGACTTTTATTTCAGGCTCCAAGAGTATGTTTTTAATCAAACGAACATTAATAGAAATTATAAGGAAAGGGTCAGAAAACTGACTTTAATCCCCAAAAACTGAGAATAGTGCTCTGTGTCAGCAAAGACTAAACTTTGCAGCATACAACATTTTGCTCAGCTAGTTCCGTGACCTGGCTTTGATTCACGCTCTGACCGTCACCCATGTCTACACTAGGGACTTGCGTACTTAAGGATAGATTTGACATATTTTAATGGATTTTTGTGTTGTTTCAAATTCATCACAAGTATTTAAGATGATGGACTGGTGCACATATGACTGTGAACAGTGCTTTCACGCACAATTTGCCAATTTGGTGGCGAGGCCTTTTCTACTTTGAATAAGATCGAAGACAGTTACCTTTTTTCTTCTCCTTTTTTTAGTTCAACTGGGAATACAGTCAATGGTGGTGAAAGCCCTTTACCTTATACTGATCTGGGTGGAACACTTCCTTCGTGGGCCCGATGATGGCATGGTGGGTGTCTGATGGAAGCCCATTGGGTCCTGGCTGGCCCATGTCGCCCTGTGAATGGTTTAGCAAAGCAGTGGTCTTTAAACTGAGAAGACACCAGCAAGCTTGAATAAAAGCACGATCCCACCACAAACTGCTCTTTTTATCTTTGCATATTACTTATCACACACACACCAATTTTGTAGTGTTATAATCATAACATGAAACAAAAAACATACGACAAAATAAAATGATCATGATATCAAATTATTTGTATCTTACTTGCACTAATAATCCTTTAGAATGTATGCATAAAAGCTGTTTAGGTTGTTGACAACTTGGGGCTGCATTTACTTCTGTGGAATTATCTCCTCACGATGAATTTCTATACCAGGAAGTTACCAGGTCTGAGGCTAAATGTCTTTATGGTTCTTGATAGGAATTACTCTATTGCTTTCCAAGATTGGGACCAAGATATAAGAAATGCCTAAGAAATGAAAGGCTACTCCAGTTTCAGACTACTTCACCAGGTAAGGATGTTTTTATATAATATGAAGCAGCCTCTTTAATAAGTATGATATCTCAAGATTGCTTTCATTTGCATTTTATCATTAGCGAGAAACACTTTTCTATGTGGTGCACAGAAGGTGAAATCTATCGATCTGCAACATTACTGGACAGCGATCCTTGCACAACATGCTGGCTTCACCTCCTGGGAACTCATCAACACAAAAAGAAAGTCACTGTCTTTCCTTTTGCTATTTCCACATACAAACTATAGAATGCAAGCTTGAGCCCAGACATCACATAATGTGAACACAGGCAAACTGAGATGAAGGATCAGCTGCAGAAAGTGGCCCCCCACAGTGTGTTCTGAGCGTCCACTAAGATGACACCTACAAGACACCTAACTGCTCCTCTGCTCTTTACCTACGGGGACCTTGATGTTTTTATCAATACTTGAATAAGCTCTTTGTAGATTACAGACATTAATTTCATTTCTACTCTATCTAATGTGACTACTCTCCATTCTGCCCAAAGATTTCTTCCCAAAGTTTTCTTCATGTTATTTTACTATTTTGTTATATTTCATTGTACAGAAGTCTATATTTTTATGTGTTTGGATCTTCCGATGCTTTTCTTTTGTAGTTTTTTTCTATGATATTAACACAAAGAACAAAGTCGTTTCTCTTCAGACCTGAGCAGTGCTGGATTCTGTTTAGTGTGCTGTTCAATCAAAAAGCAACGTGGAAAACCAAAACGAAAATGTGCAAACAGCGAGGCCTGAGGAATGAAGCTGTTCCATGGTGGGTACGGAATTTTGTGGTGAACACGGTGGGGTTATGTGCTGGGGAGGCTCTGCTCGTTGGGTGCGGGTGCCACATTGAGCCTCTCACTCACATGGTCTCAGGTGACCCTCTCACAGGCCATGTGGTCTTTGAATCTTGGCACTGTGGGGAATTCTAAGAGTCCCTGTGGTCCTCTTTCCTGCCTTGAGCAGCCAGAGCTGGCCACGTCACCTGAGCTGGCTCGGGGCTAGTCTGTGGCTCTCGTCCCCTTGATCACCTCTGGATTCCCCATGCCAGAAGACACCTCGGGGAAATGCCCTGACTTTCTGGGTGCTGAGGACGGCTGAGGTCGTGTCTCCGCCACAGGTCTAGGGCCACCCTGGACTTTGTCTTATTGATCTATAACTGTCACTGGAGCGTGTTTCATAACTTGGCACTTTAAATGACTATTTCCTGTACAAATGGTCTGTCTGCAGAGCGCCTCAAGGTAACAGCCTACGACGTGGTCACGAAGTGATTTATTTCTTAATCACTAAACCCGGCCTGTCTCCCCTCCAGCTGTTAAATCCCCCTTACCTTCTCACCCTTTTTTCCATAAAAACCAAGTCCTCTGTTGCCCTGAAAGACAAATGCTTTCTGTAAGTTTTTAAAAGTCAATAATCAGAGTGAAACAAAATTTTTTATTTAGAAAAAGAAACCTAAGAAGCCTATTTATTTGCAACTTTACTGGATTACCCTCCTGGCATAACATTCTGGCTTCGCCTCCCAGAAACTGACACAAAGACAAAAATGAATGACTTTCCTTTTGCTATTTCCATATACAATGTAACACAGGTTTGAGCCCAGACATCATGTTACACAAACAGGAGCAAACCGAGACGATGTATCCAGAAGGTGGTGCTTCACACTGTATTCTGAGCATTCACTGAGACTGAACCTAAATGACGAAAATTCTGGGGTTCAGAAAAACCATATGTGACTCTCTTAACACAGATGTGCTTTTAAACAATTTGCATTTTACATTCTAAGCAAACCCTCAAAGATAATGGAGTAAGGGCCAGCTCCGTGGCCTAGTGGTTAAGTTTGGTGTGCTCTGCTGTGGCAGCCTGGGTTTGGTTCCTGGGCAGACCTCTACCCCCTGTCAGCAGCCGTGCTGTGGCAGCAACACAAATACAAAAATAGAGGAAGATGGGCATGGATATTAGCTCAGGGCAAATCTTCCTCAAGCAAAAAGAGGAGGATCGGCAACAGATGTTAGCTTAGGCCAAATCTTCCTCAGCGAAAAAAAAAAAAAGTGGACTAATAGCACTTATTCTGTCCCCTTTGGGAATATTTAACAGTTTTCTTTTTGAAATATATTCTATTGTTCAAACATCCTGATGATCAGAAATTGACTGTATTATCGATTCTGTACTTGCAGCATGTACTACACAGCCCAGGGCCTGTGCTAGATGCCCACTCTCCCTTTAAGCCTCTGCTCCCCACGATGAGTGTGGATGTCACAGGTGGTGACACTGTCATACCCTTTGACCAAGGCCTCACAGCTCATGAGTGGCAGAGCTCAGACTCAGTCCTGGTCTTTCTCACCCTCAATTGCCCGAACCTCATCTCTGCAGGTTAGCATCTCAGAGCCTTCCGCAGGTTCTGGCCCCTTCATTTGGAGAGCAGCCATTTTTTTCCCTGGATCCCATTCATTCTCTCTTCTGCCTCAGTCTTTTCTCATTTGGGGAAGATAATCCTAATTTCACATAAACATTTCTTACCCTTCTCATGATTTTAGGGGATGGTGAGTCTCTGGGTTTTATCCAACTTCTTCATCTTCCTTTTTGCTTAAGAGACAAAGCTAGGCTCAGCAACTAAGAGAGTATTTAATGGTTTCATGAGTGGGGCTGCCACGTAGGGGAGAAGTGACTCCACCCTAATGTCTAAAATAAGCGCATGAGAAAAGCTATACTGCAAATTCACGCATGTTATAGAAATAGTACTCTTTTCTTTGACCTCCAGGCAGCTCGGCTTCTTTCCCAGGGTCCCTACATTCCCATCAGGACACAGGATCATGTGGGGCCCTATCTGATCTCTCTCTGTAGTATACTGTCTACTCCCCTCAATGCCCAGATATTTTCTGAAAATAAAAACAAAGCCTTTAATTAAGTTTTGCTTTTTTTGCTTCTTTCCCACCTGGCTGGGAGCTGAAATCAAAGCACAGAAACGCAGCCAGACTAGATGACAATGCGATTTGCCTGGGCCCCTGTGGTCCCTCTGCCTCACGGCTGGTTGTCCAAGTCACCAGGAAGTGACCGGTCGGGGGTGAGGGCCGTTTGTGTTGCAGCCAAGTAGGGATCTGAGGCGACCTCGGGGCTCGGCTGCTCCGTCTTACATCCGCTTCTCTTGGCTCAGGGCCGTTCCCACCCCGCTCAGGGCTGCTAGACAGTGGGGAGCCCAGTGGTGGGGGCAGCAGCCTAATGAGCTCCAGGCCTGGCCGGAAGCCGTGTCAGAGGTGACGGGAGCTGGGGGCCTGGGGTGGCGGCAGTTGAATTCCCCAGGAGGTCACAGAGATGGGATTTCCGTGGAGCAGGCATGGGAATGTGCAGGCTGGGAGATGTCCTCAGCCACGTTCAGGCCACGGAATGGTCCTTAAACGTTGGCAGCGATATCCCACTCCTTCTGACTCATGTCGAGTTTTAATCAAACACTTCCTTCCAACCTCCTACTGTCTGTCTTGGACAAACAGGTCACACTGAGCCCTAGATCCATCTCCAAGTTCTAACAAGCCACCTACTTTTTTGTGCTCCAACCAACTTAATAATCTTCCTCTGATGGAAACGGTACAGCTTTGGGCTCTAGCCCGACTTGAATATCATTGGCTACATCCCTAGAGGCCGACATGAGACCCGTGTGGATCCTAATTCTATCCAGGGAAGAAGGCTGTCAGCTCCCCTACACAAATACAGCTACATTGTGTCCATTCTCGTAAGTTAACACAGGGATAAACACGGCTACATTGTGTCCATTCTCGTAAATTAACACAGGGATAAACACGAGCTGTCCCTAAGTCTAGGTCTCTGATCAAAAGTTCACCAGTTTGATTTTCATACAACAGAATGTTACTCAATTTGCAAACAACAAATGGCTCAACATAACTACCTATTTAACGCACCAGCTACTCCAGGTGACCACTGGGTTTATCCTTGGAGTTTATAACGTTGTCTTAAAAACCTACAAGATGGTCCTCATCGTGAAATAAACAATACACAGTTGTCAACCAAGCGGTTCTATGGTCAAGAAAGATCTCCACGAATACCTGAGTCCCCTCCCTCCCCAGCAACCAACTTACTTGCTGTCCTTTTGGTCCAGGGGGTCCAGGCGGTCCCTGCACAAATACAAAGAAATCTGTAAACTGTTTTCTTTATCTCAGGACCCAGATAACATCTGCTAGAAAGCTCTGGGAGAGCCATCCACCGTAGATTTAGAACCCCGTGCAGCATGTACAAGGGGTCCCCATGCGTTTGTCTTGGCGGGCAGGAAAGGCTGGAGGGTAGACGACTGCAGTCAGGCCCAGATCTCGGGATTTGCTGCTGTCCACGCACAGCTATTTCAGGTTTGCTTCTCTGAGTTTAGACTTGGGATGTCACCTGTGTCCCAGTCGCGTTTCCTGTAGGCCCTCTGCAAAGTCCCAGGCCTGTCACTGCACAGACCGTTTCTCCTGACTTCCTCTGGGGTCCCCATGGCGCACTGCCTAGCACTTTTTGCTGGTGGGTCAGCAAATGTTCACAGGCAGAATTAATCTACAGGCCAGTACCGCAGGGTTGAAAGTCCGCCCGCAAATAGCACCACGTGTCTTTCTGCAAAGCATTCAGTATCAACGCCACACTCAGGAAGAAGTTTTAAAAATGCATGTGAAGTACAACTGTGCTTAAGTACAAAGAAGTGGACAGGCGGGGACTGCGGGCGATTTTAATGGCCCACAGGAGGAACCTGAAGCTGTCAGATCAGCTACAGACACAGCAGGTACAATCTATTGTCTCAGATTTCCCTGAACTGCATGTTTAAAGAATAAAACCTCCAAACCATGTGGTAGGTGTGCTGTAAGCCAACAACTGTGCTCAGTAGGAGAGCAGAGAATCTCTAGTCATATAAGTCTGGTTTCATTCTATTTGGCCAAATCTTTCACAGCCAGAGGGCTACTGGCAAAAATGACTTTCACAGCACCATGGAAACTCGCTTTACAGAAACAAAATCAATGATTATTAGCCACAGCCTGAAGGAAACTGAGGAGCACCCTCTCTCAATGGTTATATGACTGAATCTTCCTGAACACACGTGTCTCCATCGTTTCTCATTATCTGTCAGGAAACTGAGACCACAGCCTCCCTGGACGGCCTCCCCCAGTCTTCAGCAATGGTTTGCTGTGAGGTCTCGCTCACCTGTAGCCAAAATCTCTCTTTGTAATTTAAGGTCTATTTGTCTTACTACTAAAAAATGTGGGAGTGAGAGAGTCAGAAACCTTGCAGGAGCCAGTTCATCTCCCGGGTCCCTTGTGGGGTGGTGGGAGGGGCCTGAGGGCTGCGCGCGCACTGGGAACTCCCCTTTCTCCTCCTCTCCCCTCCCTGCAGCCAGCCCTCCTTCATCCGAGTATTTGACCTGTCACACCTTACTCTACCATTTGATTTTCAGGGGGGAGGGAACACCTTTAGACTGCCACTCAGGTAGGGTACTAAGGCCGTTTTGTTAATTGATGTCCAATATCTCACTTGCTATAATGACCATGCCCTGGTGTGATACACCTGCTGTGACGGCCATGCTCAGGTGTGGTACACCTGCTGTGACGGCCATGCCAGGTCTGATGCACCTGCTGTGACGGCCATGCCAGGTGTGGTACAACTGCTATGACAGCCATGCCCAGGTGTGGTACACCTGCTATGACGGCCATGCCCAGGAGTGGTACACCTGCTATGACGGCCATGCCCAGGTGTGGTACACCTGCTATGACGGCCATGCCCAGCAGAGTCCATTTCCTCTTTATTGACCTGTTGGACTTTGGTCTGTTTGCCCAGGGATGACAGGCCCCTTGTCAGCTGGACAGGTGTGGGGCTGACAGAGCTTGTGCATGGCTGGAAGGCGCCCCCAGCCAGGACCAAGTCAAAATTTGACACAGCTGGCAGTGATCTGGTGACCACAAATCTCAAGTCCTTACTCTTCAACCTTGATGGCAGCCAAACATGTGCAAGGGCTGAGCTGACTCATTTTGTCTTGCCGTTTTCTATAGTGAGCCCAAGCAGCAGAGCTGTAGCAGGAAGCTTCCACCTGCATCAACAGTTAAAGAAGCTGCACCTCTAGGGGTGCGCTGACAGTGGTCCAAGAGCGAGCACATGCACCTGCTACTTACTGGTCTCCCCGGAGCTCCAACAGGCCCCATCGGTCCCACAGGCCCGGGGCGGCCGGGAGGCCCCTACGGACAGGCAACAGAAGAAGGCTTGTAAGACAGGAGGCTGGCATTTGGAGTTCTGAGTGCTTGAAGTTTTGTTTGGAATCTTCTCTAATAAAAATAAAACTTACCTGGAAGCCGACCAATCCAGGCTCCCCAGGTTCACCCTAATTGAGAAGAAATAATTTCAAGAGCTGTTGCGCATCTTCAGATTTCGTCACATTTTATTGCAAGTACATCAAGTGCACCAGCCCCAAAAGGACTTGATAATGTTCATGACTTCCTATCTGTAGGATTGTGAATGTGGGAGAGGGATGCAGCCACACGAAGTATGAGACTGAAAACATCCTTTTAAATGGACCATGATTTGGATGATTCCATCATCCTACGCATTCCTCCACTTCATTCATTCTTACACCTCAAAGTTCACCTGGAAATTAACTTTATCACTCGGAGCTTACACTGGACCCCTTAATCACGTCTCCCATCTCTAGCAAACTCACCCTGTATTTGTCTCGGTCCTCGCTAGACAGTGCGTAAGGTTCACCTTTTTGCCCTTTGGGTCCTTGGGGTCCCTAAATTAGCATATATATGATAGAAAGAGAAAAACAAAAAAAAAGTCAATTAACATTCAGTGTAGTCATTTGGATGATTAAATAGTGACTTTTATGGGCGATGTTTAATTGTTCTTATGGCTTCCTTAGGTTATTCTGGACATCAGTTACTACATTCAACCACAGAGGTGAGACTTTTACTTTCATATTTACCCAGCAGCATCTTTATTCAAAGTTAAAATGGAAATACTTCCTAGAGTTTAAATTATTCTCAAAAACTCAAACGAATGCTCAGTAAATGAATCCTTGAGTACACCAACATGTTATTTTTCTCTGTAATAACATGATTATGTGTTTTCTTAGGCATTAGCATACTAAAAATATTAACACGTATGTTCTTAAGCACCATTTGTGGGACAGATGCTGGTCATTCTTTAAAACTGGAATTGTGTCAATATACACGATACGTGTCCACATGTCTATGTGCAAATGTCTTTTAACACCTACATAAAAACCCAACATTTTAAAGTAACGCTATATTTATTGATAATGAAAGCTATGATGTTAGAATAGACCAGAACATGATGTAACCTACTGAAAAGTTGAACCACATGAGAAAGAAACAGCCAATGAGGAGGAACGTGAAAGCAGAGGTGTAAGTATGATGAGGAACTGATTAGCTTTGGGGAAACACAGGGAAGGGGTGGTTATGACTGCCCTTCTCCCATCTTAAAAATGCTTTTTTTAAAGAAAAAGTTAACCAAACAAAATGTTAGTATAAACCTGAATTTGCAATATCTTAGGGGTAAGAGGGTAGCAATACACTGCCAAAAAGTATTTCAAGATTCTTTGCAAACACCCTGAAAACGAAATGAGGACACGGACTAGAATAATATATGAAAGTTCTTTCATTAAAATAAAGAAATTCCTATAATGTCTATGCTGGAAACTGTCATTGCTCTTTATGCCACGATGAATTTTAGAATCTAATAAAGATGGTGACTAATAGAGAATTTTGTCAAGCTTCAAGCTTTTTATTTCACTGTTATTCACTGTTATTTGAATGGAAGCGTGGGAGACAATGAAGTGACTCTCAGGAGACTGACGGGTGAACAACATAAACCAAACCAATTATTTTCTATCTAACGTTTAAAGAATCAATATGGAAAACGAAGTTATTTGAATCCAGGGAAATCATGCCTGGATATATGTAAGAAAGCTCAGCAGAGAGGTACTCTTCATCCTGAGCACTGACGAAGGAGAGAGGAGCAATTTCTTCTCAGGGTGTAAAAGCCAGGCTTAGCACGTACATGCCTGCATGGCCCTCCCGTCAAGTGAACAGGAGGCAACTGACCCTCCTTCGCAAGTTTCTCTAAGACAATGCCTCAAAGGGTCCTGAGCCGGCCTTCTAGGCCCCAGGAAGAGAGCTCAGCATACGGCAACTTTCATTCATTTCTGCCGACCAGGGCCAGCCTTCCACATTCTAGAGCTGACCCCCGAACAGCACGTGCCTGCCGATACTCACAGGAGAGCCAGGGAAGCCCCCAGAACCGGAGGGTCCCTGCGGGCCGGCGTCTCCCCTCGTTCCGTTGCAGCCATCATAGCCAGGCGGTCCTCTGGGTCCCCCTTGCCCAGGATGTCCCTGGGAAAGAGAAACGGGAGTGAGTCCTCTAGTCCATAGATTTTAGTTTTCACCTAACTGTGTAATAGAACAGTTTCAAACCCTCTCGTAAGAGATGTCCCTGGCATGAATCCAAGGGAAAAGACAGCTCAAAATGAAAGAAAGAAGGAAAGATTAAGTAGATAAGGCACAGGGTGCAGTTCTAAGCAGGAGAAAAGTCTCCAAGACAAGCTCTGTTCCCATGGGCTTTGGTGAGAAGTAACCTGTCTTGAGGTTTCTCCTGCTTCGCTTCACTGGGTGACTGGGTGGATTGTTTTAGGAGGAACAGGTAAAGGTTGATTTAAAATTCTAGAAGCAGCCAGCTCCTTCTCAGGGACAACAAGGATGCCTCTGTCAGTTGTGCCCAGTTGGATGGTAGGTGGTGAGTTGGACAGACCCGCATGCTGAACAGGTGAGAGAGCCACACCGGCAGTGGGTCTCCTCAGTGGCTCGGGCACAGGCAGAACCGAGCTCCTCTTATCTACTTTCTTTGGAGACACTCCTTCTTAGATTTTGAACATGAATAGAAAGCAAGTCAGGTTCTGAGATATCTGGCGGGAGAGGAAGGCAACGATCAAATGTCTTTCAAACAACTGGAGAGGGTCGGGCTGAGTCTGTGGACATCTCAACTGCAATAACCTGGTTCCAGGGACACTGAGGGGCTGGATCAATAATCTACAATTTATGGA